GCGGGGTACCTCTGCCACCACCAGGCAATCCCCGGCCACTCCCCAGCTGCTGCGGGTGGTGGAGGGGGAATCCCCCAGCAGCTCCACAGCTGGGGTCCCTCCCAGCTCCCAGCCACGGGGCAGGGGCCGCAGCTCCCAGCCACAGCAGGGCAAGGTGCTGGACCCTCCTCCCTCCCTGTTTTGTCATGGACATTTTTAGTAAAACTCAGGGACAGGTCATGGCTTCCGTGAATTCTTGTTAATTGCCTATGACCTGTCCATGATTTTTACTAAAAATGTCCATGACAAAATTGTAGCCTTAGTCATGCACCTTCTCTGGCCAGCCAACACTGACGTCAGTGAAGCATCCCCGGTAATCAATAGAGATATGCGTGCCGTCTATTGCTCCACCACAGTTTGGGACTCCTATTGCTATAAATCTATCCACTATGTCCCGTACATTGCACCGTCGCAGTCCTGCATAGCAGCACACAATTAGTGGCCCTGCACATTAGCATGACAATGGCCCCCACAGTGGATTTTTCAACTCCAAAATGATTTTCCACTGACTGGTAAGGAATCCACTGTTGCAAGTTTCCACAGTGCAATTGGCACTTGCCTCTCTGCTGTCAATGCAACTCTCATTCTGGTGTCCCTGCGTGGGAGGACTGGGGTGAGTTTGGCACACAGATCCAGGAACATGGCCTTGCACATCTGAAAGTTTTGCATCCACAGCTCATCGACCCAAACCGGCATTATGATGTGATCCCATCAGTCAGTTCTCGTTTCTCAGACCCAGAATTGGCACAGCTGCAGCTGCTCTGTGAATGCCACCAACAGCCTTAAAGTGGTTCTTGCTATGTCCTACAGCAGTCTGTCTTCCAAGAAATCACCATGTTTCCTGCTGATTCGGTTCTTCTTCCAGCTCTTCAAATACTGGAGGATCATGTGTCCTGTGCCTGCAATACTCATGACAATAGTGCAGAGCTGTGCAGGTTCAATGGTTCTGTCAGGGATGGCGGACACCAAGGAGGGCCCTGTGGGTTCATTGGATTTTTTTCAAAAAGGTGCTAATATTATGGGATATAGATGACAATATGGGATGGAGAAAATTGCATGCTGGGAACATGACCCTTTGTTCCCAGTCACTCCTGAGCAACTTGTTTCTGCTCCACCACGCATTGCCAAAACTTCCCAAAAGACCGTGCACAGTGGGATCTCTACCCATGGTACACAGCACTGTGCACAGACACAAGCACTTCTGGTGAGTACGTTCAGAAGGTCACAAGGAGCCAAGTATACACGCGCACAAGCGATATACTAACTATGGCGGCTTTATGCCGACATAACTTTTGGTGGCCAATGTTTGTAGTGTAGACATGGCCCGAGGTACCTTGAGAACTACCGCTACAAACCCTACTAATCCCAGATTACATCAACACGAAAGAGACTGTGGCAGATTTTGTTCTGATGTTAAGACGGGGAAGGGTGTTGACTCCACTGCAGGGTGTTCAGATGATCCAAAATGTGTTACTATCTGCTTCAGACTAGTATCTGGGTGAGGTAAAATCTTTTATTGGGCCAACTTCTGTTGGTGACAGAGACAAGCTTGTCTGCTCTGGGGGTGTGGTGCAGGGGGGAATTTATCACTTGGATAATTCATGGTTTAAATGTAAATGTCTAAGTGGCAAACTGCTTAGAATTGTTTTTTCGTTTTAGCACTGTAAGGGGAAAGCTATTAAGCCACACCTACATAAAATGTACCGTTGTTTACATGGAAATCAGGCTTTTATCTGATCATTAGGAGCCAAATGTAAAAGGTAAACTAACTTGTGGACCCACCATTTACATACTACACAAGTCAAGCATTGCTCTCTAATGCAAACATACTGTGAGTCAACGGAGACCAATCAAGAGCTCTCTAAACTCAAGTTAAATAAAAAGATAAACATTAGCTTTATTTGAAATTTAATAACATTACATGAAAGACAGACCTTAATATTATATTGTATTGATACAAATTGTCAGCTGCAGTTCATTTAGAGATGGCTGGGACTGCAACACCTGCCATCCAACCTGAAGTCATTTGAAAATCTCAAAATACCCCTTTCCTGCTGGTAACCCAATCTGCTTAATATAAAATCAGACTGTGTGTGCATTTTTTCATACTTGCGTATGGTGGTCTTGGGTGTTATTGATTGTTTTGTGCATACAGGACCGAGAGAACATGTGGCTAACACAGCTCTGGGATTCAGCAGATCCTGGGTTCTACTCATGGCTCTACCACCAGTTTGGTGTGTTACTTTGGGAAAAATGCTAAACCTGTCTGTGTGTCATTTCCTCCATCTTTTAAGTGGAGAAAATAATCTCTCCCACTCTATTTTATAGGGCTATTGTAAAATTAATCCATATTTGCAAAGGGCTTTGAATATCTCTGATGGATGGTGTTATGAACTTTCAAAGTATTGTTACTATGTGGGTGACCTGTACAGGGGGAAAAATGTGTGTGGATTCTTCTTTCTTTCTTTATGGTGGATAAAGATCTGGATGGATTTGTTTTTTCTTAAAGTTGTTGGGTTTTTTTACATTAAATATCTCTAGGCCCTGTCTAGCCTAGAAAATGCTATTGTCTTATCTACACGGAAAATCACCCATTCCTCGCAATGGGTATAGCTGAACTAGTATTGAACACGGTATAACTAAGCATAGTACAGGATCAAATGTATTCATTACTATTTCAGAAGCTATCAAATAAATTAGTGGTTAATTTTAATGCTCATGTTTCACTCTCTTGGTATTTCGGGTATCATGACATATAGTTCTTCAGTTGTCCAGGAAAAACAGGGTGGACAAGACCCAACTGTAGGATTTTCAAAAGCATCCAGCATTTAATGGAAGTAGAATTGGGCCACTAGTTAGTGTTTTCTGAAAATTCTATTCCTAATTTTTAATGTAAAAATCAAATAGAAAGCCAAGCAAATAAATAATTACTCTTTCAGACCTTATTTATGCATCATAAAAGAGAAATAAGTGCACAAACCTATATGTTTTTCTTTGCAAGTCACTTTTAAAAAGCAGCTTTTTACACTGGGCCAAATCCTATTCCCACTGAACTCTGCAGCACAACACATTAACTTAGCTGGGAATGGGATTTGGGCCTTTGTGAATGACTCTATAACAAACAATAGCAGCTACTGATACCAGCCTGGCAGCTAAATTTTCCCCATTGTAGAAATGTCTTTGGGGCTGGTGATGGTGTTTTATTTCCCCAATTGTTATGTTTTGGATTAAAAGTTAAGAGCCCAGACCGGCAAGTTAGATATATAATAGCTTAGTTTATTGAGTTTATTTAAAGCTACATTCAGACAATACTGAGAAATTGGAGACAAAGAATTCCAGGTCAGACTGATTCTGGAAAAACTCAACTCCTACACATTTTGAAGTTGCATATTACATTAGAAGCATTATATCATAACAACCCCCCACTGTGCAAGATGCTGTTTCCAGATGTAATATGATCAATAGCCAGGGCTTAAATTCAGCCAGAGCTGTCCAGAGCAGAGCTTCAGTAAATATTTTTAAACCTATGGGGCTGAAGCCCTAAGCCCCGAATAGGGGAGGGGGGGGAACATGGGAGGTTCCGGGAAATACGTGAGAATTTAAGTCCTGTCAATAGCCTTATACAAATTTTCCATTTCATGGTTGTCACACCAAACTCATATTCCCTTACAGGTGTGTCTGGTTTTGTGTGTGTGTTAGTTGCGAGGGTTTTTTTAAAGGGAACACTGGTATTATATGTGCCTAGGGTGACCAGACAGCAAGTGTGAAAAATTGGGATGGGAGTGGGGGGTAATAGGAGCCTATATAAGAAAAAGACCCAAAAGTGGGGACTGTCCCTATAAAATCAGGACATCTGGTCACCCTAAATGTGCCTTTTAAGTTCCGTAGAAACAATCCAAGCACAACTTGTAGGTTTTGTAAGCTAGTCCTCTTCCAAAAATCTTGTAAATACTTGGGGTTTTCATTAATTGCATTTTGTAGAAAGAGCTGTAATTGTGATGAGTGGACCGTCTTCTAGGTTTCTACACCTTTGGGAATATTTGCCATTTGTGCAGATGGGAAAATAGCATGAAGACACTCTTTTAAAAAAGAAATGGAGCCCTATTGATTTAACGTTCTATTTCTATGGCAAGTAATTACAACAGTGACTATATTGTGGCTTAGTTATGGTTGTAACAGAGCTTGCAAGAACCACGTTAGTTTCTTCAATTATAAATATACAGGTTTAACTCCCACACCCTCCTACGCATCAGAGCTTTATCTCTAATGAAACTGAAAGATGCTGTACTTTCACTTTCCATTTTCTTGCATTATCCCTGTCTTCTCTAGATAACTTTTAGGGCTAACATCAATTAGAAAACCAGATCTGTTTTCTTCATTTGAATTTAGAAGCACTTAGAAAACTGCCTTTTCATGATTTCAATATGATTTGTATGATTTATATTCATTACTTTAATATGATCACAAGTAAATTCAACAAATGGAAATCCTTCAGTGGGTTAGCTCAAGTTTGGGTGGGGGGAAATGTCTTCCAAGGCATTTAAGTATTCAGACAAAAGATTTGCTTTCAGTTCTTTCAGTGAAGAAAGCTGTCTTCCTCATTCTAAAGTAGATAAACACCCTTCACTTGCATAATATTCAAGAATTTTAGAGAGCATTTAGGATTACAAAGGATAGCCGAATAGCTATTTTTAGCCATCTGTTGAGATGCTGTTCTCAAGATTTTCTTTGTTCAAAACTGTGTAATGAGTTTTCAAATGAATTAATAGAGTTCAGTAATGACAGGAGGGAAACAAGGCTGCATATATTTGTTAGAACATAGAGAGTATGAGGCATTAGAGCAACAAAATGTTGATTTTTCTAGGTTAGAGTTTAACAATAACTATTTTAACTTATTGCTCTTGAAAGCATCTTTTGTCATAAGAAAACATTTGATTCACTACTGTGTTTTTCCTTTGTAGAGGTCAGAATATCCTGGATCCAGCTATGGAATATGTGAAGGTACCGTATCACTTCAAAACATCAAAATCCTTTCCCAAATATTTTATAGTGTACGTAATCAGCGATAGCCAATTATTAATCTATTTTCAATGTCCAATCCTATGCAATCCAGTAGTACTGCAATCAAATTTTTCAGATTGGTGGAAAAAAAGAATTAATTATATCATGTGAAGCAAACACTTAGAAAATAGAGTACTTGGTAATCAGCTTCGCCACCAAGGACTGTTTCTTTTTGGGGAGAATATATTCTGATATTCATAGGCCTCTGTTACATCATAAATATTCTCTATTTAGTAACTGTTTTTTAAAGGTTTTTTTTTTAAATATTTGAATTAAATGGGTTAAATGATCCCACATTTCTCACTGTGAGGTAGGGCCTTTGGGGAAGTAGAGGAAAGAAATAGGTCATATCTCAAAAAGATTACCCTCCGCCCCCAGCCAATCTGAAATTTAGGCCTTATACATTTGGCACTTTCCTCTTTACAAATGCAGCTACAAATTCATCTCTGGTCTAAAAAGCTAGAGCCAGGTCTGGATTTGGTCCACACTAGTTAAGGTGAGGCTGCTAGGTTACACACTAACACTAATTATACTCAGCACTGATTAGGCCTCAACTGGAGTATTGTGTCCAGTTCTGGGCGCCACATTTCAGAAAAGATGTGGACAAATTGGAGAAAGGCCAGAGAAGAGTAACAAAAATGATTAAAGGTCTAGAAAACATGACCTATGAGGGAAGATTGAAAAAAATGGGTTTGTTTAATCTGGAGAAGAGAAGATGAGAGGGGACATAACAGTTTTCAAGTACATAAAAGGTTGCTAACAAGGAGGAGGGAGAAAAATGTTGTCGTTAATCTCTGAGGATAGGACAAGAAGCAATGGACTTAAATTGAAACAAGGGCAATTTAGGTTGGGCATTAGGAAAAACTTCCTGTCAGGATAGATAAGCACTGGAATAATTGCCTAGGGAGGTTGTGGAATCTCAGTCATTAGAGATTTTTAAGAGCAGGTTAGACAAACACCTGCCCGGAATGGTCTAGATTGGTTCTTGGACCTGCACTATTTAACATTCGTATTAATGGCATGGAAGAAGACAAAATCATCACTGATAAATTTTCAGATGACACCAAAAATTGTGGGGGAGGAGCTAAATAATGAAGAGGAGAGGTCACTGATAGAGTGATTTGGATCACTTGGTAAGCCGGGTGCAAGTAATTTGCATTTTAATACATATGTATTAAAGTTACACATCTAGGAATAAAGAATATAGGCCATTCTTACACAATGGGACTCTATCCTAGGCAACAGTGCCTCTGAAAAAGACTTGGGGATCATGGTGGATAATCAGCTGAACATGAGTTCCCAGTGCGACGCTGTGGCCAAAAAGGCGAATGTGATCCTGGGATGCATAAATGGGAATCTCAAGTAGGAGAAGAGAGGTTATATTGGCTCTGTGTTTGGCACTAGTATAACCACTACTGGAATACTATGTCCAGTCCTGGTGTCTACAATTCAAGAAGGATGTGGCTAAATTGGACAAGGTTCAGAGAAGAGCCTGAAGAATGATTAAAGGATTGGAAAACATGCCTAATAGTGATAGACTCAAGGAGCTGACTCCATTTAGCTTACCTAAGAGAAGGTTAAGAGGTGATTTGATTATAGTCTGTAAGTACCTATATAGGGAACAAATATTTGATAATGGGCTCTTCAGTCTAGCAGAGAAGATCCAATGGCTAGACTTTGAAATTAGACAAATTCAGACCGGAAAAGAGGCTTAAGTTTTTAGATAGTAGTTAATCATTGGAACAATTTACCAAAGATTGTGATGGATTCTCCATCACTGAAAATTTTAAAATCAAGATTGGATTTTTTAAAAACAGATGGTATAGTTCAAACAGGAATTATTTTGGGGAAGTTCTATGGCCTTTGTTATATGTCGGTGAAACTACGCAATCACAGTGGTTCCTTCTGGCCTTAGAATCTATGCATAGGCGCCGACTCCGTGGGTGCTCCAGGGCTGGAGCATCCACGAGGAAAAATTGGTGGATGCTCTGCACCCACCAGCAGCTCCCTGCCCCAACCCCCCACCCCAGTTCACCTCTGCTCCACCTCCACCTCCTCCCCTGAGCGCGCCGCGGCTCCACTTCTTCCCCCCTCCCTCCCAGCGCTTCCCGCCATGAAACAGCTGATTCGCGGCGGCAAGTGCTGTGAGGGAGGGGGGAGGAGAGGGAACGCGGCGCAGTCAGGGAAGAGGCGGGGCTGGGGCAGAGATTTGGGGAAGGGGTCCAATAAGGGCAGGGAGGGGGTGGAGTTGGGGCGGGGCAGGGATGGAGTCGGGGCGGGGCCGAGCACCCACCGGTGCCTGGAAAAGTTGGCATCTATGTATATGGCAGAGAGGAAGAAAAGGTTCTGTATTGGTCATTCACCAGTGGGCTTGGTAACAGGAAGTGATGCTGTGACATGATAATAGTCTAAGTGCTAATTCTGATGCTTGTAATCTTTCCAGTAGGAATAGGCCCCATACTTTTGTCAGTATTTGATGTGTTTGTTAATCATTAAGATTTTGGAGCTGGGGAGGGAAGCCTGGGGGAACAAGTTTGTAAGACAGGAGGAGGGCATAGTAACCCCATCTCTTCCACTTCCCCTCTCCTGCTCCCTCATTTTAATGAACTGTCAAGTAGTTTAGGCCTAGAATTTGACATGCCTTAGAATAAAAATCCCGATTGGAAAAATCCTGAGGATTCTAAATAGCTAGTTAAAACATACATATAGGAATAAGAAATAATTCATTCTTGAACTTGTTGCACAAAGAAGGGAACATCTCAATAGCTGCTAGTCTTTAATTTTCTTTTAATGTAGTTTTTAAACTTTTTAAAAACATTTTTAAAAATCTTTTTGGTTTTTGCATCTTTAATTTTTTGTGTCTTCTCAATTTTTTTCATTGTGCTTATTTATAACCTGCTGTACTTCACCTTGTGAGGATTAATATATTATAATGTTTATAAAGCTCTCCCAGCTCCTTGGATAAAAGATGCTATAGTTGGAAAGTGGTATTTGTAAACTGCAGAACAATAAAGTCCCTGTAAGGTCCCAAAGTTCAGTGCAGAGGTTCCTGTAGCATCCAGCTGTGCTCCTACCCACCACTGCAGTTTGCACTTAACAAGTGTATTTGGCAAGAGGCACAAAGTCTTAGTTTGCTTTGCTTGAGCTCATGGAGTTGAAGCACGCTCAAGATTTTCCATTAGTTACCTCACCTCTTTTTATTTGATAATCTTTGACACAAGCCTGTTATAGAAGGAAGTGGCACTGATAAGAGATAAGCAACAAAATTAACCCTTAGAAGTAAATAAAATGAGGAAGGGAAAAAAATCAATAAAAAGAGCACCAAGAGCATTTCACTTTGTTGATATGTGATATCAGAATAGATAGGATTCCTGCGGTTCTAGCTGTGAGCAAGAGAACTTTCCTAAGACCAAACTGTCTGATGCATGCAAGAGAACATAGCTCTGTAGCCCTGTGGCAGGGTGCCATGAGCTGCTTCAAACTGGGCTCTATTAAAGCCAGCACCTGGTCACCTAGAACAAGTAGGGCACTGAGTGGGTTGAAGGTAGGAGAGAGCTGGTAGCTTGATGAGTTAATGAGGTAATTAGCTCACCAGCTGGAGAACCCAGGAAGGAAAGCAGGCAATTTAAAAAGCTAAACCAGGGTGCTGAAAGGAGGCTTCTCATAACTGCCGCTATATGGCTGTATTGTACCTGGAGCTTAAGAAGGAGATAAACAATAAATGCACATGGTGAAGATACCTTGGTGGACCTGTGTGCTGCTCAATTCACCAAGGGGACTTACCAGCCAGGGTTTTCCAGGAGAGGACCGGGGAGCCCATTCACAAGCCCTTAGACCTTCCTACTGCAAAGTGTTAAATTAGATGGCTGAAAATAAATTTAAATATAAGTACCCAAACATAAAGTATGATCCTAATGATAATCACATGGAAAATGTGACCATTCATGCTACATTTTCTTATACTCCATTGTTTATCAGGTTGTTTGGATTGTAAACTCTTTGGGGAAAAGGGCTTTCATGTGATTCTGTTCTCATCTACCATGGCATAAAACCAGTGTATAATGGGGTAGATTTAGTTCCCTTGCGTTCAAGTAGTCTGCACCTGTTGGCATTACCCAGATGATAACATAGCCATGTGCAATCGAAATGCAGCATGAAAGCTGGTTCCCACCAATTGCAGCTTTTCCAAAATATCACATAAGTGCTACACTGTACTCCTGGGGGAAGTCTGCACCAAAAAATTAAAAATTCTGCACACAATATTTTAAAATTCTGCATATTTTATTTTCAAAATAACACAATATAATCACTCCAGTTTCAATAATTTTGATTATTTATTTCAAAATACCTGTCTGTAACAATAAAGACAACAAAAAAGATTCCCCTGGGAGTAGAGTTAAAGAAACCTCTATGACAACCCAGTTCCTGTTTCTCTGTTATGTTTTTGTTGGGCACCTCAGTCTGGGTGTGTCACACATGCCAGCTGGGCACATCTTGGGGGAAAACTCTGCCCTTCTGGTCTTTTAGTTGATTCTAATTTTTTCACCCCGCCTCTGTAAAGTTACCATATAGAGGTTTCCAAAGAGAGGATACTGCCCAGGTAAGGGGGAAGGGTCGCTGGAGGAGGAGTACAGTTGGAGGATGCTGGAGGGGGTACAGTTGATGGGTGCTGAAGGGGTTTGTGTGTGTATGGGGAGGTGGGTATTTGGCGGATGCTGGAGGGGTCTGTGTGTGTGTGCTGGGAGGTGGGTATTTGGTGGATGGTGGAGGGGGCTGCACGGGGCCCCCTGTCCCAGACACCTGTAACCCCTTCCCTACAGAGCCCAGCTTTGGGGCCAGACACCTCCACCCCTCCCTTCAAAGCCTAGCTGTGGGGTCCCCCCCACAGCTCAGACACTTATACCTCCTTTTCCCTAGACTCCAGCTGCATGGCCTGACAC